CGGTGTCCCATATAAAGTAGAGGAAGATGGGCACGGATGTTAGCCCAGGGCCAGTCTTCCTCAGCAAAAAGAGGAGGATTAGCAGATGTTAGCTCAGGGCTGATCATCCTCACCAAAAAAAAAAAAAAAAAGTTAAACACACAGCTACCATTTGACCCAGCAATCTGACTCCTAGATGTAGATCCAAGAGCAATAAAAATGTACATCCACACAAAAGCTTATACACGCATGTTCATCGCAGCATCACTTATAACAGCCAAAAAATGGAAACAACTCAAATGTCCATCAACTGAATATATAAACAAAATGGGGTGTACCCATCCCATGGAGTGTTATTTGGCCATAAAAAGGAATGACGTCCTACAACATGGACGAAACTTGAAAACATTATGCTAAGTGAAAGAAGCTAGACCAAAAACGGCCATATATTGTACGATTCCATTATATTATATGAAATAATATACATATAATTTTTATTTTCAAAGCATGTGAATGTCCTACACATTAAAAATAACATTTTTTGAAATATAAATCAGGCCATGTAATTCCTTTATTCAAAAGTCTAGAGGGAAGAGACTTGCCAGCTCATTTTAAGTAAAAATCAAAGAATCTCTGATCCCTTTCAAGGCCCTGCCTCATCTGCCCTTCTCTCTTCCTCTCTGACCTCACCTCCTCCCACCTCCCCCTCTCTCCTCGTTCCTGTCTCACTGGCCTCCTTGCTGTTCCTGGACGTGGCAGGCATGTTCCTGCCTCAGGACCTTTGCACTTGCTGTCTCCTTGACTTGGAACACTTTGTCCCCAGATATTTGCACAACTGGTTCCTTCATCTCTCTTAGATCTTGGCTCAAATGTCACTTTCTTGAACAGGCCTTCCCTGACCCCCACCCTCACCTCCCAGGAGACTGCCATGTTCCCTGCTGTTTCCCTAGAACAGTGCCTGGGCCAGGTGGGTGTGTAATAAACATGTGATGAGTGAATGAATGAACGATCTCAGGCAGTCTGTCTATCCATCACCCATCTTGTACTGGCCACTAGGGGGTCTCTAGACACCAGCCATAAGGAGCCATCCCAGCCAGCTTGGAGGTCTGGGACACATGCAGAGAGCTTTGGAGGATGTTTCACTGAAATCTGAGTTCCAGTCTCCACGAAGAAAAACCGCCTTAAGCTCCTGGGTTGAAAATCCAACTGTGTAAGTTAATGAATGACACGAGGCCAGCTGGTTTTGCCAGAATCCACCAGGACTTGGGCTGCAACCTGTTCCTGTCATCAAAGCTGACTTTTCTTTCCTGGGAGGAGGTGTAGGAGGAAGCAGGGAGGGAGCATGGGCCTGGCTGGGGACAGTGGCCGCCCAGGGCGGGAACACTTGGGAAACAGACCCCGGGTGACTGGCTTTTCCTAGCAGCTGAGGAATGCAGAGCTTAAATCCTTAGAACACCAGGGCAGGATGGAGCCTCGGAAAGACTTTCTAGAAGGGGTCTTACCTCCTCTCCCTGCTCCCCCCAGGCACCTCTAGGTCCTTCTAGAGCAGCTCCCATTTGGTGACACTGTATGGAATTCATATGAGCAATTATTGCGCACTCCGTAGCCAGCTAGACCTGCGGTAAAACCCTGCCCCTGTTATTTACCCGCTGAGATAGTCCAAGTACTTGGCTGAGCGTCACCCATTCAGTGAGCACTTCCACAGTGTGCCCCACGCTGATACAGACATGGGTTCAGTGTGAACAAAGCAAGTCCCGGCCCCCAGGAGCTGGTTTTCTGGTGCGGGAGACACGAACTGCAAATGCAAGTTCATTGCCCATGACCAGCACTGTGGACAAAACAGGGTGATGTCACAGTGGCTGGGGGAGGGGGCAGCGTTGAGCAGGGAGTCAGGAGGAGCCTCCGAGAAGGCGGAGGCGACATCCTTGGTTACCAAGTAAATAAAATGCTGCTATCTAGCACTTGGCCCGACGCCTAACAGATATTAAGCGCTCACCAAATCTCACAGTGACTCTTAGGGTCATTGTCATCGGCTTACTGTCCTCTTGCTGGGGAGAACAGGAGCTCCTGGGGGTCAGGCTCGACGTTTCTCCTCCCCAGGGCGCACAGCACGAGCTGGCACACAGTAGGTGTATGCACGGTCCTCGTAATGTCTGCCCGCGGTAGGGCTCGATAAGCTAGCCCAGCGCAAATCGGCCCCAGCTAGGCAGCACTACTCAAGGTGTCATCAGGCGAGGGCTCCCTGACCCCGGCCCGGCGCCGTCCACTCGCGTGCCTCGCA